AAAAATTTATAAATTTAATTTTTTTTACAGTAATTATACGATAATTAAGTTATATTAAAAATAAATATAAAAAATGTAAAAATTATTTTCAAACTTGGTACGCGCGCGAACATATTTGTATAAAATTTGTATTTTAACGGTAATTGTTTTCCAAAAGTTCGATGCATTCAAAAACATTGAAAACATCGAAAAAATAATAGTTAACATGATTTTATATTATTAAAAAAAAAAAAAAAAAAGAATAAACTTCCCTCGTGCTTAAGTTATAACTTACCTTGAAGCTATTTATTGTGCTTCGTATTTTACTAAGAATTTCTGGAGCCGAGAACGTCGTTTAACCATTTTATCGTATAGAAAAGCTAATTTTGCCATAGCGTTCGTTTAAACGAGATATATTGTAGTATCTTTCTATAACACACCACACGGATCAGAAATAGCTTAGATCGTAAATATAAACCATCGATTAAAATACATCTCGGCATTTTATTTTTCATCAACGCAACCGTAAAACGTGCGCGCGTGTTGACGGTTCCCGCGCTACTGTTGGATACTTTGCTAGAAAATCGGAACGTGCGGTATTGCGCATGCGCATTAAGAATATGAATTTAAACGAGACTTCGAACACTTAGTTAGATTAAAGTTTTATACGTGTGAAGTTGAAAATTGATAACTATAGAAGAAACATGACGTATTTCGATAATGTGTGAGTATTTAAGGAATAAACGATTCGACTTTTGACGTTTTTATAAATAATACAAAATATAATATTCTAATCAAAAATTAATATATGGTGGACCAGAAAGTAATGTCATTTTTTAATCTTAAATTCAAACGAATAACTTTTTAACAAATTTTTATTTATAAATCTACTAGTATATTAATTTTTGCTTATTAGGATATTATTAGGATGACACAAAAGTTCGCGTAGGTTTTTTAATTATTAATATCTCCAAAATAAATTTTACAAAATAAAACAAGAAAACTAATGTATTTATATGCAATTAGTAAAGGTTAAACTTTTGTTTCACCCTAATAATGATTCAATATTGAAAATCCAATAATTGAACTTGTTTCTATTTTTAAATTATAATTAAATTATCACACACTTACCTCGAGTCTTTCCGTGGCCTTGAGTAATCGATCATAATCGACCGAACCTTGTACAGTTAAAAGTTCCATCATATAATCAGCTTCTTGAACGGATTGTTGTACCATTTCCAAATGTTTTTCAAAACGATTCCACAAAGCTAATCTATTTCTTAATAATGACAACAAACGTGTGCATCTAGATTCTAATTCGGTATGGGCATCTTGAAGTGCTGATATGTCACGTTCGATACCAATAGGTGATACGGTAACTCTCATGCCAGATGGTAATTTATGTAACATTTGTCTGAGACCCATGAGATCGTGCCAAAGTACAATCAATTCATCCGCAACCGATTCGCAACGATCTACTGCAGCTGATACAACATCGCTACCTTGTTTTTCACTTTCCTCGCATTGATCCAATGTCATGGAATGCTTTTCATGAGATTTTCTGACACGTCCCAGTCCACGTCTCAATGCTTGAAGTTTGTCACGAAGTAATTGAGCCGAATCCAATTCTTCACCTATCTGTCCTTCAATACGATGTGCCGATGATAATAAAATACCAACGGTTTCACTTTCAGCAGCTGGTAAAAGACCCAAACGACTCAATTTATCTTGAATCAAGGTAACCCTGTCGAATAAAACTGTAAGTCTTTCGATATAAAGATCAAGTTCTTCTTCGGTTTTCAATACTCCGTGCAAATCATCCAAACACATTCTCAATTCGTTCAATTCTTTTTCCAATATTTTCAATTTTTCGTTGGACGATACGTCCTCGGATGAAATGTTACGTGTAATTTCTGATTGTATGTCATTGATTTTGTCCGTAACATCTTTCCATCGATATTGCAATTCACCATAGAAATGTCTTTGATAAGTTTCATCGGACAATGGTATGATTTTTAATGCCTGATCGAAACACTTGTCTGCCTCATTTCGCATGTTGTTGTGTATCTCGTATTGTGCTTTCAATTCCTTTAAATTTAAATAAATATTTACAAATTAGTATATCTTTGTTTTGTTTGATTTTATTTTTGATGAAAAATTCAATAAAAATTTACCCAAAAACGACGCATGTTTCCACTTGACGTATTACTCAAAGGAATTAATTCTTTCTCAGCAGTTGTCATCCAATTCTCAATACGATTGATTAATGTTTGCTGAGTACTCCAATTTTCTCGGAAAGATAACAATCGTCTTAAGGATGATTCTATGTTATCTCGTAGTTTAACAATCTCATCTAATACTTCGTTATAATGATCTTCAGAATTTTCAATGGTAACCAATTCTTCTAAACGATTTGCAATGTCCAATAGTTGAATGATACGGGCGTGATGCATCGCAACATCCGAAGATAAAGACTACAAAAGTTCAAATAATTTGATTAATTACAATTAATTAAATAAATGTACTTTTATATAAACTTATTATTTACCTGATATAAAGAAATATATTGATCGTAATCGGAAGAAGTAACTGTTTGAAGATCAGGAACACGTTGATGAGCTACTTGAAGCCAACCTTTTTCCTCTTTAACACCTTGTTCCAAAAGAATCCATCTTGTTGCTGCCAGTGCCATTTGTTGTGCACGAGAAGCAGCTTGATCGAGTAACGAGGATGCACGGCTATGCAATTCAACGTGTAAATCAGAATGTTTTGCCCGAGTTTCTGGATCCAAATTGCCTTCCAATGATTCCAAAATGGCACGACAGTGATTCAAATTAACGAAGAATTTCCTATGTTTTTGCATTTCTTCTTGAAGGTGTTCCAAATTCATAACGGATATCGGACTTTGCAGTAAATTTTCAGCAATTTCGATAATCTGTGAAAATTCTTGCAACGTTTGTTCATATTCTTCAGCCAAAGCTAACAATTGTAAAAGACGATCTCTTTCTATGGTTATACTATTTTCAATAATTTTCGTAATTTCATGTGCCAAATAAGTTTCCTCCGGTATAATCTTTCCAGGATAATCTCGTAATAATTCATGAGAAGTTGCAAGTAATTTTCCAGTTTTCCACATGTGACAACGATTCATGTTTTCCATTTTATCCAATTCTTGAAGCTTCCATCTTGTCGAAGCTTCGCATTCGATAATATTATCCAATTGTTTGCGTTGTTCCTCGACTAACCTGTTAAGAAATAAAATTAAATTAGTGTATATAAATTTGAAAAAATAAATTAATCAAAGTTACAAGTGAATTAAACATACCTGTAGATGTTATTAATACCATTTAATAATTCATCCCACTTGGCAAGATGATTATTGGCACATTCTTCGCTGGTATTAGTCACGTGTTCAACAGCTTTTGCGTGTTGTTCAAGTGCATCGAAACATTCTCTCAATACGGCACGTTCCTCGATAGGATAATTTGCTTCAACGAGTTTCCACATGTCATCGAGTTCTCTGATATTATCAGCAACGTGATCAACTTCTTCTTTCAATTCGATAAAAGTTTTAGCGTCACTGTGAGATAATCCACTTGGACATTCTCTGTTGAGGAAAATTCTATATTCAATTGTTTCTAACCAGGTTGATATAGTTTCTATAACTGTTAAAAGTGTTTCCTCAACGATTACTATATCATTTTCTTCAATAGCATTTCTAAGTTGTGACAATTCTTTTCTTACGTCCATTGAACGTTCTTCAGCTGATTTATCTGTGGTAACTTCGCTCAAACGTGCAACGTGCAACACATTACCCAAATGATCTACCTCAGCAGCATTGTTAAGACTCTTAACTCTATCAGAAATAATTCTCGTAGTTTGGGTCTTTTGGGTTGGTTGAGGAATTCTACTTTCCATTAATGAAAAATCAGCATGACTGTTAGATCCTTTTTGGGAATTTGTTGAATGAGGAACGAGTAATCGATCTTCCCAAGCTGACGTATCATATTCCTTTTCATATTCGACTGTATTTGGTACTGACGATGTTTTTAATAATTGGGAAATGGCTTCTGCGTAAGTTTTCACTTGTGTTTTCTCAGGTTTATCTGATAATTGATTTGACGATGACGGGGATTCATCAGGTGACATAGTTGTATCCATTGGTTCACTTGGGGTTGATACGAACAATGCTTCGAATCTTTGATCTTCGCGACCTAAAGATGCTTCCAATGGTTTATTTGATTTAGATGGTTTCGAGATATCAGTGAAAATTGTTGATTGGGTTACAGGACTCGTATTAATGTCCAAAGGAATTCGTACAGTTTCTTCTTGATCATCTTTCTTAAATTCTTCGTTAAAATCCAATGGAACTGAAGAAGATTTTGTCAATGTATCTTCAACGATTTCTTCAGAATTTTGTTCAACGTTAGGTTCATCGATATTTACAGTTAATGGTTGTTTACTTGCATTTTTCTTAGCTACGTCTGAATAAGACAATTTCAAAGACGAGCTTTGGGATTCTGCCGGTTGTCCAAATATCGAATTTAAATTGGTCATTTCTTTAGTTGGCAATTGAATTTCCATACTTTTATGTTTCCTTTTTCTCTTTTGCCTTTTTTCACGTTTAGCTTCGTTATTGTCATTCGTGCTTGGTGTTGTTAATGACACATCTTGTGATGTATCTGTCGGTGATTCAACATTTATTACAGCTTCACCTGATGTTTCACTGCTAGATAATTCTATCGTAGCTTTAACGTGTACCTCGAATGAAGTATCCGGTGTTGAACTTTTTTCTAACGATTTATCCATTGATTTTTTAGATTCAGAAATATCTTCTTTTTCTAAAGTTACATCTTCAATTTCTTCTTTGGTAATTTCCATAACTTTATCTTCCTTTTGAAGAGGAGTAGTTTCTTCTGAAACTTTTATATCAGGTTTAGGTGATTCTGTATATTTAGCATCGCTAATTTCTGATTGTAATAATGCTTCAGTAGCTTCTACGATTGGTACTTCAGTTAAACTTGGTTTCATTTCTGTATCACTGACTGTACTTTTTAAAAGTTGATCTTCACTAGAACCATGCATCGATTCATCCAACACTTCTTGTAACTTGGGTGAAACTTGTGAACTTTTCTCATAACTTTCAGCAGATATTTGTGAAGTTTTATCAAGAAGAGGTATCAATTCTTTAGATTCAACTTGCATAGAACTACTAATAGTTTCTACAAGTTCAGGCAAACTAGTTTGTGTTTCTTCTTCAATATCTTCTGATTTTTGAGTAGTTTGTGTTTCCAGATCGTAACTTTCTGGTGGTTGTAAACTAGTAACCGGACTTGTTTGAGTCGTGATGTCATTAATCGGTGACAATGATTTTGTTTGAACTTCTCTTTCCAAGACTTCTACTTTTTTTGGACTATCCTTAGGTGTCGTTTGTGTTTCCACAGTTTCAGGAGAAGTAATATCCATCAATTGTGCTTGTACTTCTTTTTCCATGTTTTCTATTTTACGAGGACTCTGTGCTGGGGTTGTTTGAGTCTCAATACTGTCAAGTGGAGATAGTTGGAACGATTTAACTTGTATTTCCCTTTCTTCTGTTTCAATTTTGTTCAGACTTTCTTCAGGACTTGTCTGAGTTTCCATGGTTTCTAATGAACGAATTTCAGGTGATTTAGTTTGTACCTCAGTTTCTTGAGTTTCCATTTGTTGTACAGGTTCAATCGACATTGTTTGAGTTTCAGTAGTTTCGAGTATTGCTTTATCCAATAATTCAGCTTGAACATCGAAATCTAACATTTCCGGTTTCTTAGGACTACTAGGTGGTTCTTCGACTATTTCGAATTTATCAGGTGATGTCGTTTGTTCTGTAGTTGCAGGAGGAGTGGTTTGTTGTTCAGCTTCGATAGATATTTTAGATAACGTTTGTGTTTCCATATCTATCGAAGGAATGCATTCTATCGGTGAAGTTTGCATTTCTGATGAATCCATTTCTACGATTGTTTGTACATAAGAGTCTTTAGTTTCTAACAAGATAGGTGATGATGGAAGAACTTCTTCAATTGGACTGGTCTGAATTGCATATTCCGTCATTTGTATTTTCGTAGGTGTAACTGTTTGCATACTACATTCTTTTATTTTAGGTGTTTCTTCCTGAACCGTTTGTACACCACTTTCAAACATTGATTTCGGTGAGGTTTGCATATGACTATCTGTTTCTTCTACTTTAAATGTTTGTATCTCTTGTTCGACAGTGTCAATTACTGATCCTACAGGAACTAATTCTTTGTTTTGTTCCGGAGAAATGGATACGTTACATGTTTCTATAGCAACCGTTTGCGTATCAATAGGAATTTTATCTATATTGATTATCGGTTCTTCAATGACAGACTTGTGCGTTTCAATATCTTCAATTTCTTTCGTATCATTATTTATATTATCTTCTTTATCTGATATTATTACCTTATTCGTTGTATCTTCATCGTCAGATGAATGTTGAAGTATTCCAGAAGAATCTTCTATCATTTCACGACTCTTTTGTTTCTTTCTTTTTTTCTTTTTCTTTTTTCTGTTAATATCATCAGCTTGAACAGAAGAAGGTTCTTCAACCGTTGTTCTGTCATCTGGTTCATAACCATGATCATAACCAAAACTATCATTTTTATTATTTGAACTTAATCCTAGTGAATCAGTGATTTCTACAATGTCTGGTTGAGGTTGTTCACTAATATGTTCTGGTGATTCTGATAATGGTACGCTAATTTCTATTGATTCAGCAATAGTCGTAGAAACTGGACTAATAGTTCCTGCATCTTGTTGCAATTGATGCAATTCTTCTTGTGTTTTATTGTCTTGATTATCTTGTACGTTTAATTCATCACTCACGACCGATTCTTGTTGACTCGTTTCGGCAGTCGATGGAATCGAAGTTTGAGTGGTTACAGTGTCTTTCTGAACAATATACAATGGACTAGTTTGTACTGTTTTATTATGAATAACTTCAGATGCTTCTTGATCAGCTGGAAGATTAATTTTAACGTCTTCTAGGACAGTATGATAAGGTCGTTCATTTGAATGTTCTGATTGAGTTTTTACATATACCATGGACTCCGGTTTTTCATCATGTTTTTCAATAGACAATGAAATTTCAACTTTTCCACCAGCAATTGGTTTTTGTTCGGACAAAAAGATATTATCTTTAGATACACCTTCTCTTTCTTTAGTTAAAAATGTATCTACTTGTTCTTTTTCATCTTGCATTTTTGAAATATCTTTGTCAGTAGTAGTTTGTGTTAATTTAACTGTTTCCAACGATGTAGTTTCTTTTGATTTAACATCTGGTTGAATATCAGATAACTGTCTTTGTAATTTGTTTTCCATTGTAGGTAATAATTGTTCTTGGATTGTTTGGGTATCTTGTTGATCTCGTTGATCCTCTAACATACAAATACTCGTTGTATTAGTTTCATTGTCAGGATCTACAATATTGCTATCATCATCGTGCTGAGCTACTTCTACCGTGCTGCTTTCTACCAATGTATCAAGTGTTTTGTTGTTTATTGGTGCATCATCTGACTTACAAGTAGCTTCAGTAGTAATTGATGCGTTGTCGGTCTTTGCTGGATCCTCCGATGAAATTGGTGATTGTATAACAGCAGGCATATCCTCATCTGGTGTCTGTAAAATAATAGACTCTTCTAGATAGGACGTAACTTCTTCCTTTGGAAACATTTCTTCAGTATTATTTACCTCTGTAATAATATCTCGATGACTATGAATATCATCAGTGTCAGTTTCAGTTGGAATATCAGTGATAGTACAAGTTAAAATATCTTGTTCTTGAACTACAGTTACAGGTTGTTCACTTGTTACAAAGTTTTGTTCACTTTTATCATCGTTTGTCGAATGTTTTATTTCAACTTTATCCGTTTCTTTCGATTCAACTTTAGTATCATCAACAATAGGTTTTTTCTTAACTTCAGAACGACGTATGCTTGACATATCCTTTGCAAATGGACCAAAGAATGGTCCTTGCATAGGACTACCTGGACAATTCTGTTCAAAAGTAGTAGTTTGTAAGTTTCCTGAGAAAGTTGAGAATAATGAAGATTCTTTCATCTGTTTCTTTTCATCATTAACTTTTTGTTCCAATCCCAATGTTCTTTCGCTTTCATTTTTAATAACATTAATATTAATATGCGGTATATCTTGTTCATCGATTTCTATTTCTTCAGGTTCTTCAATTATTTCTTCACTGGTAGTTTCTTTACCATCTATTATCGTAACTTTTCTGATAATCCTACGTGTTTTTTTAATGACCCTTCTAGTAACCTGTTGTACTACAGCGTGAACACTGGATGTTTTAGTTTGATATTGGCCATGTTCAAGTATTTCTTCTTCGATAGGTAAAGGACTGATATCTTTAATAGCACCTTGAGTTATTTTGTGAGTATATTGTGGAGTTGTTTCATATTTTTCTTCGAAATATTCAGCATCAGGTATACCTGTGGTTACTTTACTACCATGAATTTGTTTCGTCAATGTTTCAACGGTACCATCAGGTTTCGTTGTAGTTACCGTAACGTATTGATCTCTCAATGTTGCTTCTGAAAATGCTTGCATCCTTGATGCATCTTTACCGAGTGCTGTTGTAATTGAGGATGCATGTTGTTCAGTATTTCTATTAGTAACAACAGTATGTCTTAATTTTCTAACGATAATTCTTTTCGTACCATCTGCATCGACAACTACTTCGGTTGTCACGTTATCCGGTTCAGTTAGTACAGTTTCAAAAGATTGTGGTGTAACATGGTGAATGTTTAATTCACTTTTAGCATTATCCTCTTTCTGACCATCTTGATATTTCATATCAACTATGATATCATCATCAGGTATGATATTACTTTGTTCATTTCTAATTAAACTTTGATTAATATCAGCCCTAGCATTTTTCGTAGCTATCTCTATAACATCATGATCACCCTCTGACAATTTGACTACCTTAATTGTTTCTTTTATTTGTTGATCTGGATAATTAGTGGTATCTATAGTTTGTGTCATTAATGTTTGTGTAGACGTTGTAACTGGAATTTGTATTGTCGATGTTTGTTTAGTTAATTGTATTGGCTTATCTTCTAAGATATCTAATAATAAACTTTGTCCTGTTTGTAATGAAACATCAGCTAATGATGGTGGACCACTTTCAATAGTAGTAGTTGAGTGTATCGATGGTGCCTGATCGATTGTTGCATCATCACGATCAGTTGTTTCGTCATCGGCCATTGCTTCTTCTTCCAGCAATTCCTGTAATTACGACAAGTTACGCTAATCAAATTACGCGTAATTACGAATACATTACTCTTCGAACTTGTTTTTTTATTTTTTTTTTTATTTTAAAATCATTATCGCGAGATTTGTGAACATTATTGAAACATAATTCGACGAATAAATTTTATTATGACCACAACGAAGATTATATGAATATTGTACAATTATAAACAGTTAATTGTAATATTATTAATATTATTTTACAAATATTCCATAAGATTTTCTCAACATAGATTATTTTTTTTTTTAATTATTAGGATCAAGTTTTGAGTTTATCATGAGGAGGGTTGAAAAGTTTTAAGCTTACCATAAGTAGGTCTGGAAAGGTGTTAGGTTCAAAACTTTTCAACCCATTGTAATTTATTATTGTTATATAACAATGAATGTTAAATTTCTCATATGTATCATAATTGTACATTGTATGGTGTCCATTAATAGACACCTTACAACTGTGTAGAATTGAATTTGTTGATTTTGAGCTCTTTATTAGTTATAACATATATTATAATAATTTCTGAAAAGTTATTTACTTAATTCATGTTATATTAAACATATAATAATGAAAGATAATTATATAAATAAATAAATGAATATAGAATAAATAGTGAATATACACATAGGGAAGATAATTTGATGAAAATACTTTAATTGTTGTATGAATAATTACAATAATGCATATTAACATTCCTTAAATACATGCAATGACTATGTTACATCCCATCACCTTAAGCTAAATGAATATAAATTAACAAATGTAACATAAGTAAAATGGTATCAAAAGGTACGGTGAGTGATAAATGATAAATATAATGTGTGATCGATGAAAAGCTGTCCCCATGCATTTGTAATGATGATAATGTACACGTGAAGTAAAATATGTGTCTTACTATTATTTTATTCTTTATAGCCAATTAATCATATGCACATCTAAAAAACAATTAATGAGATAATGATGATGATAATGATAATGATATACCACTTTCATTAAAAACTATAGATACACTAGTTCATGTTCAAGTTCATGTTAATATGTTCATGTATTAATATTATCAAATTTGAGATTTAAACACAACTTTTATATAATATTAACATTTGATATATTTAATAGATTTTTATTTAATTTTGTTTTTTTTATGGTATATATTAAAAAAATATATCTTCAACACGAGTTCATCTAATTCATCCATAGTTTTTAATAAGAAATGAATATAATTAGAGAAAAGCTGTGTTATATAAGTGCACTGATAAATTTGACTGTTGTTTGTAACAAATTGTACTAACTCTATAAAATATATCATTTTTCTAACATTATAAAGCATATACATATGTATATATATATATATATATATATTTATATATTATATATTATGATTGATTTATAAATAAATTTTCAATGTATTTATAGTAATAAGAAAGTGCGCTATTTATGCAATTATAATTGATATAAATATTCTTCCAAATTTTTCATTAATTTATGTCACATTACAAATGTTCAACCTTAACATAATTAAATCATTAAGTTTTATTATTTAAATATTAAATATTGAACGCGAATATTTATATCAATATATTTGATATCAATGATTAAACGTATCATAGTATTATTTTGACAGAAAAATATGATATCACTTAATTGACAATTTTAAATTCAATATGAAGTGATTTGTTTTTTTTTATACTACTATTAYTATTACTACTACTACTACTACAACCATAGCGAAATAATAATGAAGAATGTACGAAATAATTCCCCGCAAAAAAAAAAGCAAAAGTTTGACTTGTAATTTTGTGATTCTTGTTTTTGTTTTTTTTTGTGATTGAGCTTTAAGCAACCATAATAATAATAGAAGAAGCAGCATATTGTGATACGATAACGCACGAATTTTGAACTTTCTCCGATACCTGCTGCTTTTGCTGAAGACGATTAATCATATCCAATAGTTCGTTCTTCAATGCACTGGCCAAATCCTTAACTTCCGGTAATGATTCCAATTCTGATACACGTTGACTACGATCTAACAACTGGTCTTGCAAATTCTGTTAATACAATAAACATATAAATAACACACACAACAACAATTAAATATTAATATTAATATTTCAATATTTTATAAATAAAATGTTGATATCAGATTGTATCAAAAATTCGTGTGTTTATTGGTTTTGAAAAAACATAAATGGATTGTTCTTTCTGTAAAATTTGTTTAACAAAGATATTAATAAAAAAAACAATACACGAATTTGATGGTTCAATCTAATATTATTATTAAATAATAAAACAAACCTGATCCATGGGTAATTGATCGTTTATTTTAAGTACAATATCCTTTAACCAAGCATCAGTTTCTTCAAGGAACATTAAATATTCATTTATTTCTGTTGTTCGTTGACGATGAATATCCAAAGCTTCTTTCAATAGGTCATTACTTTGTTTAGCTTGTATCAATAAATTATTTATTTGCAATTGTATATTTTCCAAAGTATTCGTATACATTTGACAAGTAGAATCGAATGAAATTTCATTTAATTGTTTATACAAATCAGTAGCCTCTTCGTCATAATTTTCAAGCTCTTTTATCATTACCTAATCAAAATATTTATAATCACATGTATATATTTTATGAATTTTTATTCATCATGAGAATATTATAATTATTTTATAATTGTAAATTGTGTAATTAATTTATTTATTATCTTACCTCGGTGGCAGATAACATAGATTGAATAGAATCACGTGGTAAATTCGTAGCTTCTAAATCCAAGATGGCATTTTTTAATATCTCAATACGTGCTTCAATAGTATCCTGTAAAATATATATATATATATATATACATATATTAATTTTGATTATTTTTTTTAGATGTTTTTGATGTTTATCAATATATTCCATGCCGTGCACACGACAATTTGTTCAACAAATCAACTCCAGCTGGTAAAATATATTAATTTAATTAGCTCGAGCAAACTCCTATGTAAAAATCTGTAGAAAACATGAAACTTTAATAATGATTTTAAAAACCATAGGGATAATTTATGTAAAATATATATGTTATATGTCGAGGAAAAAGTCAATAGGAACTAATTATGAAAATGATTAATGAAATATAAGCAGATTAAAAAATATTTGATGAATATGACAACAAGCAGAAAGAAGAAATGATAAAAAGCGTATAAGAAATGATGCTAAAAATACAAATATATATATAATACTATTATACAGTAGTATATATAGTACTATATAATAACTATTATATAGTAATATATAATTTTACATAAATTTTGTTAAAAACAAAATTATTAATAATAATAATAATATATATTTTATATTACAGTAATATATATTATTATTATACTACTTGTAAAATATATATGTATATATATATCAAAATAAACTTTAATAATATTCGTGTTATTTTGTTGTCGTTGTTTTAATTACTTTTTTTTTTTAAAATAAATAATTATATATGGATAATTAATGGTTATATGTAGGAATTATTTAATTCAAAATTAAATAAAAATGTGAAAATGTTTTTTTGATCAATGATTATTAATAGGAATTTATGAATGAGCAACTAATTACAAGCACTTTGGTAGAAATAATAATTTCATCTAATGAATATAATATATATATATATAAATAAAATATTTAAAAGTGAACAACAAACACGAGTGAAAAATTGAAATTTTACAATATAATCTAATAAGCATTGTCTATAATATAAATTTCTAAATATATTATTATTATAATAATTCTTTCTACTTTAGAAATATATTTTTTCAATAATTTACAATTGTGTATTTATATTGGTTAAGTAATTTTTTTTATAATTTCAATGATTTAATGAAAAAAAAAAAAAAAACATTTCAAAGGATTGTAATACTACTACTAACATGCGTTTTAACAAAACAATTAGCATTTTTTAATAGCAAATCTATACGATGACAAACTCGTAATAAAAACATATTAAAAAATTGCATTCAATAATAAAAGGTGGACCATAAAAAACGTACAGGATTTTAAAACGATATTTAAAATATTATTTAACGTGAGAGTAATATTTATTATAGTTTAAATAAATTTGTGCAAATCTTGGTGATGATTTTATAAATCAAATAAATCAAATGATTGTCTGATATTTTTTTTTTTTTCTCTAAGAAACATTTCAGATGAATTATTGTTCTCATTATAATTTTCCAAGATATGTCAATTTATTTAAACTATAATAAATATTTCTTTCACGTTAAAATAATATTAAAATAATTAAATGAGTATTAAATTTAAAATCACAGATGTTCTAATGGTCCATTATTATTTAAATATAAAAATATTTAGTATAGAAAGAGAGTAGTGTCATGACGTAAGCTTTTTTTTTTTTAAACAAATATTAAGTAATTTTGCTGTAATATTTTAATAATAATATATTATTATTATTATTATTATTATTATATATATTTTTATTTTATTTTTATTCTTATAAAATAAAAATATATATATTAATTATTCTATATTATATTATTATTATATTTATATATATATATTAATTTTTTTAATTACGTAAAATTTTTTAAATTAATTTAAAATATATATATATATATATATATACATAAATAAATTGCAGCAAAATTACAAAGCAAATAAGCACACATAGTTCTAAAAATTTGGAATTAATTATTTAATGAAAAACAATGAGGAATAGTAGATAGAAAATAGAAATAGAAAAAAGACATAAGAAAAATAGAAAAAACCAAGGGGATAGTAAACGACAAAAGACTAAAAAGAAGAAGAAGAATAAAAATAAAAACAGGACACATATACGCTGTATGAACGTATATATATATAGAGAGAGATGTGCCAGTAAATCAACGTTGACCATTTTATGGTACAAAATCATTTTTTTGGCAAGGATGATGTCGCATCGCACCTTGATCCCACGTATCCTCATAGTCTTGTCTTCGTTTGTCCTCGTCTCTCTCTCCACCTGTTCATTCGTAGTCCATTGCTGCATAGAATCCAACGTTGTTGATCTACCTATATCTTGTGTGGATTGTGGTGATGGATCATTTGGGATAGAGGAACAAGATTCAAGGTCAAATTGGACGAATTCTTCTTTGTCATTCATAGGAACAAACGTGGGAGTTAATTTGTCTTCGTTAATTATAACAATATTAGTTGATACATTGGAATGGTCAGGTGGAATTAATTTGTTATCACTTGAATCAACATCATCATCATCATCATTATTATCATTGGTCCAGATATTAGGATGGTTAGAATTCGTTTGGGTATCCAAAGTTAATTGAAGATTAGTCGAACTGGTTGTTGTTGTTGTTGTTGGTCGTGATGATGATGCCACGGTTATCAAATTTTCAGTAATATTATGAGTTAACTGTTGTAAAGTAGTGTTGTTATCTGGTCTCTCATCATTCTCGCTCGATAAATAAGTACTATAATCGCGCCAACTACAAATACCACCAGGCAGGTCGGTAACAAGACATTCCGTACGTGGTGAACCCAACAATGATCGCGAATTATCGAAACAACGTCCTGAACCACCACCTTTAGATCCACCCCCATTACCGTCATCGTTACCACCATAATCATTAGGTGGATCACGATTGGAATCCTCATTTTTATTATCCTTAATTGTATCCTTTTCATGAGCTAAACTTTCGAATAATGATTTTTCTGCTTCATGATAAGGATGTTTGGTTGGCCAGAAACCACCGTCCAAGGATAAAAATTTCGATCTTACCGTGTTCAATGTTCTTTCCTGTATCATTGCCGATTTTAATTCTTTTTCTTTATCATGAGTTAAAATGAGAACATCGTCGGCAATATAAAATCGTACTTTTGGACGATTTTCTGTTGATTGTAGAGATGAATCGTCAGATTCAATGATTTCTTCATTTTCATTTGACAATTGTTCGATATCTTCGATTTTTATATGTTCGGTATGTGATTTTATTTCTGGTGATTTAATTTCTACGATTTCTTGAATTTTATTTTCATATTCATCGTCAATTTGTTCGATTTTATTCTCGATAATGCATTCGTTTGATTTTGATGATGAGATCATTTCTGTTGACATTTTTTCTTCACTCGACGTGTCTAATTTATCAACATTTATTTCTTTTACATCTTTAGAACCTGAAGAATCTAACGTTATCATTTCAGAAGTCATTTTATGTGATTCTTGTTCAGTTTTGTCTTCTACAACGTTAGCAAAACCTGGAGGACCTAATACAATTGTTTCAGAAGTCATTTTAATTGGTTCTTGTTCAGTTTTGTCTTCTACAACGTTAGCAGAACCTAAAAGATCTGATACTGTTGTTTCAAGAGTCATTTTATTTGATTCTTGTTCAGGTTTGTCTTCTTCAACATTAGCAGAACCTGAAGAATCTGATACTGTCGTTTGAGGAGTCATTTTATTTGATTCTTGTTCAGTTTTGTCTTCTACAACATTAGCAGAACCTGAAGAATCTGAAACTATCTTTTCAGGTGTAATTTGTTCCTGTTCAAGTTTCTTCTCAACACATTTATCAGACGTTTCATTATTAACATTGTCTAAAATTGCTTCCTGTGATTGAATTGTCACAAATTTCATTTTATTTTCTTCAACAACTTCCTGTTCCTTTTCCTCAGTTTCTTTATTAGTTAAATTATCTTCCAATAAATTTTTAACACCTTGCTTCTTTTTCTTTTTATCTTCTTTCTTCGATTTTTGTTGAATCTTTTTATCAGCTGTTGGTTTTTTAATTTCAGTAGAATCTATGGTTGATTTTGGTTGAGAATCTTCTTCATTTTTATTGGAAGATATTTTAGGTTTTTCTTCTGCAATAAATTGTTCATTTATTTGACTATTCTCACGTGTTTCTTCCATTTGTTTTTTAACAGTAGATGATAATTCTTTGCCATTAGTTTCCATGAGTATTGATTTGGTATCATCTTCATTATTTTTATTTTGTTTAAACAATTTTTCATCAGTTGTATTGATACTTGTCTCTAATTTTTCTTCCTCGATAAATTTCATATTTATATCAGTTTTATCTGTAATAGTTATCTCATTATCTTTACTTGACTTTTCTACATTTTTATTATCTTCTTTATCTTTATTAACATTTGATTTTGATTTATCCTGCATAGTTCGTTTATTTTTAGATTTATTTTTCGATTTACCAATGGGTTGTTGTTCATCCTTTTCTTTTTTCGTTATCTTAGAATCTTGCGAATCTTTTATCTTTTCAATATTCTCATCTTTAGTATTATCAACTTCTTTTTCTATAATTTGAACATTTTCAGTTGATTTGTAATCCGTTTTAAATGGTTTATCTTCATTCGGTTCAATTGATTCTTTCAATTCGTTCTTTCCTGATTTATTTTTCTTCATTCTTTGCTTTTTACTTTTACTTTTATCTTTTTCAATGAATTCTTTACTTTCTTGATCTGAAATTATAGTCTTTTCTAAATTACTGTCACGTATTTTAATCGTTTCTTCGAGAACACGTATTTCCAATGAATTATTATCACGTTTGTCAACTGTTTTTTGTTTTTTATTTTTATTACTATTATCCATTGGTTCATCTGTGTTTTCTTTATCTACAATTATGGTTTTTGATGGAATTATTTCTGATTTATCAATTGTTTCATGATTATCAATTTCCATAGTATTATTTATTTCTTTATCAGTATCATTCAATTTTGTTTTAATATCTGATTCTTTTACAATATTATCTGTATCATCTATAATTTCTTTTTTAGATGATACTTCTGACTTTTTACCACCATCTTTAGTTTCAACTTTG